TATGTTAGAGGATCAATTATGCGCTTTATAGCGCCGCGCCTACAATTTAGTTCGGTCCATTGTAATTGCTATCAATGAAGCCTATGGACAACTGAGCCCGCATACCTAATTAGAGGATTCAGGAAAGCAGTATAAGAAATATATCGTGTTTGATTGGTTCTGTTCCATATTTATTTCATGGACGGTATTCTATGCAGGACTGAAAGCTTGAGGAAAAATATAGCCTATTTAATGTCATTTTAAAATAGGCCTACTCATATTATAGTGAGGGATCATTGTCAGGCGTTGACGAGGTAACGCGTGAAGCAGATAACATTTCGATGCTTTTCTAATAAGGTATGGTAATGTGCATCGTAGGTTCCAACAGTACGATTCATAGTACAATTCGCGTGGCACTCAGTAATTCTATAGAAAACGGTTACGGAATCCAGTAGAAATTTGCTGAGATAGTACATTTTTTGTTTCTGCTTTAGTTATTTAATTTAAGACGCACTCACTGTATGTATTTGTTGTTATTTTTTGTACCACATCATCATAGTATGACCAATCATCCGCTGTTTACATTACGGTAACATTAGGAACAATAAAGGAAAGGCTTGCTTGTTTCAGCTTATGCATATCAGCTCATTCAATTGCCAAGCACAGTCGGTCACCCAATGACAGATGTGATCCTTGGCTATTCGCGCCTCGAGTTCGGCCTCGTCCACATCTCTTCGTCCCGCTGTTTCCTATAACGATTAAATACCCCGGAGATGAGGCTTTTAAAAGGCATTTAACATACTCAGCCACTATGGAAATGCCCCTCGCCCCGTGTAGTCAGTCTGTCCAAGTGAGAAGATACGTTAGGTGGCAGCCATGGTAACGATGGATACCACCGAGCGTGTGAAAACGCATTGAAACAACTCCTAGGCCTATCCTTTACTTGTGTTGCACAAAGACAAGTTGCTTCATACTGGGTGAACCTAAACGTTCCGCGTCAAGCAGTAGCCTATGAGTTGAATGAATTCGAGCAAACCTACATATACTACTGTGTTGATTAGCCTATCACCTAGTAACGAAAAACACAACAACGCTGTCTGTGTTGTATACGTATATTGTTTTTTATTTCTTTTAGATAGTCACTGCTAGTGCCGCTGCTTATCAGCTTCTTTAATCATGAATGCCAAACCTAGGTTTACGCTTCTGTCTAAGCTGACGCCTCTTCAGATTCCGTGGCACGTTTCAATTGAGTAAACTTGAGCATTTTTTAAGCTAGAGCTCCTGGTTCTACGGTATCGTTTCCCCTTGACGGCTTATGATACTGGCTTATGCATAGTTTTTAATGAATGGCCGCAAATCAGTCCTCGGCATATGGCGACCAGAATTTCTTGTATAAGAAGCGGCCTCGTATAGAAAAACTGAAATACAGATCGTTTGTTTCGACCCGCGCTGAACTGGATGTTGACAAGTACAATTATGCACGAAGCAATAAGATACAGTTTAGATAATTGAGGCCACTATTGTGATTACCAACAGACACTTGCATATTCCTAATTTCATCAAATTGAGTACCTTTCTAAAAAAATTGTATGGAAAATTGTTACTCTATTTTTAGCAACAAAAATACATTTTATTTAAAGTGTATCTTACTCCCTAATAAGTTAGCTCTAAATCTATACAGTTAATTTTGACAAAAACCATTAAAAAAATGTTACTGGGTTAGCTTAACAACTATCCCAAAAGGCACATAGGACGGCCACAAAAACATCTACTCTCTAGTTTCTGAGCCATGACAAGGATTTCTTTAAAACACAGAACAAACAGTACAGCCGACGAAGGCATGATCTAAGGAGTCCAGCAATCGATATGTACAACATGCGTGTACTGTATAATGTACATAGTACTCCTTTCAGAATGAAGTAACGCTGTCAATGATAAGGCTACTAAGCCCTTTACAGAAATTAAAAAAAAAAAAAGATTATCCAAAAATCCGTTGGGGCGGGGGGCATTCAAAGATGTTCCTCGTCGAAGGAAAAGCAATTATTGACATGGACACAAACGTGACTTAGAGATGAAACGTGCAGTATGATAGCAGAATGATCATACCGGAGAGAACAATGAACCACAATAATGCTGGCTAGCTAACTTCCTACTTCGACCGTTCAATTTATGATGTAAGCGTGTGCCCTGTATTGACTATTTGGGCATCTTTTTAGCTATTAACCTAGTTAATCTCTTGATAAATCAATTAGGCATTCAACATAGTGAAACAGTATGCGCTGGCAGGCAACATAGGTGATTTTTGTCGAACAGTTGACCGCTGTCACAGTGTTTCAGTTTTGATTGGTATCCGACGCACTCCCAGTAGCGGCGGCAGTCTCTGCTATCGGGAAAACGCCCACGTTGGGCGGGACACTGAAAGGGTGGCAGATATGGGGTAGGAACGCTAACCTTTGGTTCTGTAAGGAACAGACGAACGAGCAAACGTGAACGAACGGCGCGCTCATTTGACACAAAATGAAAAATTGCCTAGATTGATTAAGTTTTTAGATGTGTAACCCGCACGTAGAAACGTTTATGTCACCTTTATACATCGTACCAGGAGCGTAACAACTATATACCGTTAAAGGAAATCTAGAGGTAAGTGATTTCAAGAGAGTTCTTCTTTTAATCATGCGTGCTTATGATGGATGGAAGGTGAGCTTATAGGAAAGAAGGACGGCATCCCCTATTCGTTCGATGACATTTTCCGGTTTTAGTCGTAGTATGATGGCATGCGCGCGATCGAAGGATGAAGTTGGCAAGTTCCTCCTACCTGAAATTGGGATAGGCTCAAATTGTGGTTCTGGAATCGGTTCGGGTATCGCACTCGGATTTGTTTCGGGCACAGGTCTGGGGTATAGTTCTTGCATCGGTCTTGGATAGTGTTTAGGCATGAACTGTGGATATGGTTCGCGTATTGGTTCATAGCTCGGCTCCGGGAATGATATAGGCACAGGCTTAAAATACGGTCGAGGAAAAGGCTCTGGAATCGGAACTGGAAGCGGCTTTGCCGGTTCAGGCCGTGGCCAGAATTCTGGATTAGGCTCAGGCTGAGGTTCTGGAATAGGCCTCGGGCGAGGCATTGGCCGCGGGGGATAGACATCCAAATTGCGTGAAGGTGAACTCTCAGCATTATTACTGTTATATGGTGGTGGTGATGGACGACGCGTCGGTTGAATCGTGTCATCTTCAGGGAATGTAACATGCCCCCTGAAAGATCGCATAACATATCATTCGTGAGGATGTTTGATACGGGCAGTGCACAATGCAGTAGTGCCGTTATAGAGTAAACCTAGCGGGTAGGTATACTTGCACAAGCGATAGTTGCTTGAAACATGCATATTTAATGTGGAATATTTCGGTATTCTTCTTTAGTCCAGCTACGAAAAGGAGTACCGTGGTACCATCCGCCTGTCTCGCCATCTTGAGGCCTATTCAGAGTCAATAAGTAATTTGCTAAGTCAGCGTAAAGTTTACTTGTTTAAACAATAATAATCGTCGAATATCGCTAACATACGGGGAGGGGAAAAGATGTTTGACTGGAGGCATATGGACACATGGCACCGTACTGATCATGACACCGCATGGTCTTAAAACACTGCAGGGCGGAGGAATTCGATGCAGAAGGCAGCATGTCATAAACTCCAAACATTGGCCATAGGACGTTGGATGGAAGCATTGTCCCTCCATATAGAATTCACGATACGATTCTCTGTAAATTGTTCGTAAATTTAGAATGAGTTTAGCGGCCGTTATACTTAGCTTAGTTGCCGCATACGCTTTACTATGGCCTAAATAAATCTGCTAGCTGAATTGATCTTTATTGACGTTCTAAATCTACAACACAAATCTACGTGATACAGCTTTCCAGCGTGCTTTGACTTAATTTCTAATGCTTTTGAGTATCATTATGCTACAAGAATATAGAACGATAGTAAATTGTTGTAAACTCACCTCGACTGTTGTGTTAATTCGTCTGGAGGTAAAGCACTCCCGCTTCCTGTCATGATAACAGGCAGCGTATCCAAGCGATTAGGTCGTACTGGATTCGTAGTAGATAGTAGTCTCGACGGATGGTCTAATGGGGTAGTGGCTGTTGATGGCACCACGTCGATATGGGTACTCACCGTGACGTTGCGGTCTGGTTCTAAAATCGGGAACGGCGTGTATAAGCAAGCGCGACAGTTTTCAATTATACATGACAGTCTGTAGCAAGTTAGGTTATTTGGAAACCTATACTTTAATAAGCATGCCTCCACTTGTTCCTCTAGAAGATCATTATAGAGAATATTTCTAAATACTTGTATAATCGTTGTGTTCTTGGTGCCTTCGTAACGTAATGTGAGCTATTGCGGTGGGGTCTTTTTCTAGTCATCTTCAACGTTCTCTAACATGGAGGGCAGACGAATCCGCCATCCAGAAGTAAATCGTCTTCTTAGGATCAGATAGCCATGCATATATAGGTCGCCTTAAACAGTAACCGAATGTATCGCCAGCTCGTGAAGTCCATGACATGATACAGGACATTGTATATTGAAATCATCAATACAACATTAGGAAAATTTTCTTGTAGATGGTTCGCTTATAAAAAGCTGCTTTTGAATATCTGAAATTTTGATCAGAAAATAATTAAGCAACTACAGATGTAAATAGTTCCCATCCATTTTACGAAAAATATTACTAAAACGAAACATTAATAGCACGACAAATGGGTGCAGTACGATGCTAAGCACCGCGAAATTAATATTGGTCTTCTATTTATTAAACAATTAAGATCGATTAATTAATTAATCTGAATGTGAAGAATTACCGTATACGCGCTACGGCTGATCTCAGTGTAGCTTACGTACGATTTGATACAAGTCAATCTAGCGTGCTTTTGTCTGCCTGCCCAGACAGCAATATAGAAATAGACGTCTCTCTGAACAAGCGTCTGATGTTTTTAGTTACTCTCCCATTTTTCCTCATCTTGTCGCTATTCAAAAAATAAAGACGAGAAACGCGAAAGGCAGAAAAGTTTAGCTACGGGTTTTTCTGTGTCGATCGCCCGCGCGCTTCGCTTTCTGCATCAAAATGCAAAACATTTGAATTCCTATTGAGAATCGTTTCCATTATGCTCCTGTGAAGCCAAAAGTTCCTCGATCGTCTCTCACTGCACTATCTGTCGCACATCGCGGGGTACAGCGCTCATCACCCCTGTGGCTGTTACAGGCAGAACGCAGCAAAATGTACTATAATAAGTAGAGTACCATCTAGGACTTTGCTGTTTGTGTTACAGGTAGTTGTTCAATGCATTCAGTAGTGCTTCTGTTGATAGCCGATTGTGTTATAGCTGCTAAAGCCACAATGTGCACGAAATACGAGCAGAATTGGCCACTGACAAGTTTTAGATATAGTCGATACGGTTGGTCCCTGCAGCAAAGATGGACTCCTGCTGCGATCAAACGGAGATATGCGCGCACATAGAACGGTCGTAGTCGTCTGCTCTCACAGTGGTGTTCGAGTGCCGAAGTCTATATGCGATAGGTGGTCCAACATGTAGCAAGGCAATATTGTAACGATAACAGTCGTATTCGGTGGTGGCCCGGCTCAGGTGTTAATGGCTTACACGGATCTTTGGTCAATCAACTTACGAGATGAACCATTAACTGATGAATGGTCGTCGTTCCTGATGAAGTCCCTATTGAAGGGATACCAATGGCTTGCCCCTACTACGTGACCGCATTTTGTCGTTTGGTGCCGTCGTGAGCAATATGTATGTATGTATTTTTGAGCCTTATGGCCACCTCGTCTAACGAAGTGGATGAAGGCCATATCAGCACAGGGAAATTAAACGATAAATAGACATTTTCAGGTACAGCTTAATATCTTATAAATAAACCGCATCATTGTATCAATTGTATTGTATTTCCATTTCTAGCATATCTGGGCACTGACGTAACGTCAGTAATTAGTAGTACCCCTTAAACCTGATATATTTAAGGACGTAACTATACGTATTAAGGCTCAATCTACTCGATAAAATTCATTCTCTGCTCGAAATAAGAGTTCAACTTTAGTACAGTGTTAAATAGACTGACGTAAAACTAGATCAGATTCTGTCTCAAAGTCGACGCGATATGAAACGCGAAGTAGATGGTTATTTTATGGGCCCCTAAAATTTAACTTCTAGATAATTACAACAAGGATTCTTAGACAGCCCCTATATAATTATAGAACGAATAACTCAACCAAAAAAACGCGTAAAGACACATAAATTCTGTAGCATGCAGGCATGTACTCTCGGTTTCGAGCCGCCGTATCAATATTTAACGATGTTATCATTGATTTCAGCGTGAACGCACCAAACTTATTCCTGATAGAGTCGATATCCCGTTGAACTAGTCCATCTCCTGCTGCCGTTACCACGTTCACGTCGAAAAGCACAAGGCCAAAAGTGACAAGCACGACGATCAATGTATGCGTTGTTCCGAGGTTCAAACACATTGACGATCCCGATTTCAACGATCTCAATGATGACGGCGATGTCATCATCGTGAAATTCGGTATCCTTAACGTGCAAGTCCGCGCACTAATTACATTTAGCACTGGCAGGTATTCAACAAAAACCGAAATGTTGCCCCGTGAAGACTCACGTCGGGTATTCCTCTGATCGTAGCTTAGTTTCTCTTATAAGAAGAGGCTTGAATACGAAGGCAAGGGTGAGTAAGCCGCATCGTACCGCACAATCCCACAACAATAAACCATAAATAATTCTACAACTACCGCTATTATTATTGGCATAACTGTTACAGCCACGTCAAGACAGAGATGGAATGGGCGTTCTGTAGACGGATGTGGTGACCTATGACGTAAGACGCACTGGTGCTGTTGTCGCGATTTCGATGACTGTTAATATTGGCACTTAGCAGAAGTGTGCAGACTGTGCCGAGCAAGGTGCCGTACGGAAATATGTAAAGTGACAGCTGAAGTGGGTGTTACTGGGTTTGTCCCAGGCGCGCTGCCCCTACGCAGAGGCCCAGCCTGGCTCTATACTGTCGTCATTGGAAACGAAAATTTGGAAATGTGGAATGTATATCACGCTATGTTCCCATCGTCATTACACCTTTGGGCATTTCAAATAGCTCTGCTTTGCGGCGATTTATAGGTATGGTGTGATATCGAGGAACTAAAAGCACACTCTTTTCAAACAAATTATGGCCTATCGTTCGAACAGACATAGACAAATAGTAGCCTTTTCTTACTAGCTGGCCTCTGTTGCTCAGTCGCATGGTATCACATACATATTAAAAGGCACGTGTTTTGCTGCTTGCAAAGGATCTACGCCAATGAGAGCTTTTCAAGCGATGCCTTGTTTTCCTGAATTGTCACCAATCTTCCGCGTACACCTGTATGTACCTAAATCTATGGGTTTACGGCATTTGAATGACTGTAGCCTCGCCTAGGTAATATTTATATTACTAACACTTTCTGCAATATCTGTGTACAGTATTGATAACACCAACGCTTCAGCCGTTTCTCACGGAATCACTTCAATCAGTCCCAGTAACTGCTACGCAGAAGCTGCGGTAACTATTTTCGCTATCCAAAACACACATGTGCGTACAAAGGTAAGTAAAAAAACAAAATATGTCAGCCAAACGCTCATCGTTCACGCATTCTCTCTGCCCCGTCGCCTTCATCGCTAAAATTGCTACAAACAGCAGGAGCGGCGGCATCCAACGCATCACACGCATATGTACACAGTCATTGAGGATATTGTTGACCCGACTGACGACTGCGAAGGCCACCCCAGTCTGCCCCAGCGAACGAGCTGAAACCATCATCGAAGGTGGCACCGCTGCTCCGGCGGCGGTGGCGGCACTTGGTAAATATTTGACAACAAGTTTCCCTTCGTATTCATTGTTGCCACCGTTGGAGCAGTGCTGGTCGTCGTCGTAGAAAGATAAAAAGAATCCTACTTGTCTGGCCATCCGTCTGTCTGCCTGATCGAGCGAGACGATCCGAAACTGAGACTGAAATGGAAGGGGATGAGAAACCCGGTATTAACATCGGGGTGAAGTAAGCACCGATGACAAACACCCTAAAAGCGACACTTAGACATAATACGACGAATTTACGTGTGCACGCGTACGTCGTGTCAATAGCGGTGGGGGGGGGGGGGGGGGGGGGGGGGGGGGGGGGGGGGGGGGGCAATCAGTAGTTGTTCAAAGTTGGGCGGAACTGGCGATGAGGAACGGGGCCTAGGACTTTGCGGGAAAAAGGAGCTTATGTGCGAAGCCAGTGATGACGCCGCGGTCGATCCTGGTAAATCCGAACAGCTCGGCCTGCGGCTATTGGTGATCTGTTGGAGCATATTCAATACGGTGGCAGCAGTTGTATTTGTGGTGACATTGGCGACAGCTTGACTTTTGAATGACAAATGTCAACATTAGCAAAAACGGGGGTATCAGTCGCAAGCATATTAACTATAACGACGACATGAACAGAGAAAATATGCAACGGGCCGGTAACGGTAGCAGGCGGGATCTCTTAAATGCTACAAGGTCTCGCTATAATTGGCCGCTCACAATATCAGCTTTCAATAGACTCAACCAAAATCCGAAAAAGACAAGACGAATTACTGCATTACGTGACGATGGCACTTGTGTCACGCCATGGGGCGAATGCCAAGCGTCACCGAATGCCACCAAAAAGGTCTCTGGAGCAGAATCGTGCTCAGCATGCTTGCTATTACTACACATTTTGGCGGCCTAACGTGCCTAAGCAACTGATAGCACACATACCCATCTGCCTTTTTAACTATATCATGAATTTCAATACCGATAGGTATCGTGAGATCCGATAAAACAGTATTCAAATACGATTTCACCTCTGTTTCTGATTGTGTTTGTACGGTCCGTCTGTGAAACGTTACTAAAATGTTAGAAGAATTATTATTATTTGCCAGTGATAAGAAATCAACAACGTATGTGTTAATTAAATGTTATATCTAGTATAAAAGTATAGTTGAATTATATATTCAAGGATTCATAATCGATGTGTACCGTCCAAGGGACTGCTTAGCAAAGGTACGGCAACGTGTGACGCTGCTTAGCTACGGGGACATATTCCATTACGTCTTACAGAGAGGCACGTAACGTTTGGCAAATGAAGACCTAGCGTTGCGTATACAGTGAAACCGATACGTCGCAATGTGAGTAACTATACGTCAGTTAGTCCTGTTTAGCCCTCTTCAGGCTTCATCGGTCACTACCCCGGTATCATTAAAAGTCAAAATTAATCTTCGGCATTTACCTCTCCCATGCAACGATAAATTTTAGCAGAATTAGTAGGTAGTTTGGCTCTGGGTTTTAGATTTTTTATAAATCGTTGCTAGTAGCTCAGAAGTAGTACGTATCTGCTTAACAATAAACGCCTTTTAGGGACCCAGGTTTAATTTGTTAGCGTCTTTCGAGTTGTGCCGACAGGAGGTGTTCCCATACTACTTGAACTCCATAGAATGCCACCAAGGCCGGTTTAATTTCAAAGTGGGTCAAGGCCATTCGTAAGAAAAGTCTGTAGGGAGTTTGTATATTAACACTTACCATAGTTGCTCGTCGTACTCTGTCCATGATGTGCTCTGCAAAAAATTCCCCTTTTCGTGGCAAGCACTCACGGGTACTTGCAGCTGATTACGTATTTTAAGGCCGTGAGTACCTGTGTGCAGCGTGTCAGTGGCAGCAAGGCGATTTCGACAGACGTTCATGACCTCCGTTTAGCAATATTGATGATCAGTCGTGCGTCATCGAAGTATAACGAAACCCTTGCGAGAGCTTGGTCGACATGCAATCAAATCTTTCCAAAGACGACAAAATTGTCGGCACAAAGCATGTCATGAGGATGAAGTGTTCTCACATGGATGTTGAGTCGGGGTGTGTGAGCACGCATCGAACAGCCTAGTCAGTGTATATATATATATATACTGACTAGACTCTACACATATAGAAACAGCTTTTTCTTTCAATCGTCTTTCACCACAGGGGTCACGCAAGTTGTACACTTACGAAAACCTCACTCCAATTCGGTGGCGGGCGTCCATTCTGCAACTAAACACTGCACAAAACTGTCCAGCACGAAACCCGGAGAACCCCTATTATTTTCATGAATACCTGTTTACATATCCATATACCACCGTAAAAGAACACAGTCTGTGGAATGGTTCTGACACCGAGTTCACAAAATTCACGCGAGTTGGCTGTGGTTCATTCATACGGCGCAACTCGTGTGAAGCTTTTCGGTGGAACACATGTTTATCCACGGTTTGCAACTTCTCTGCTTTTCAGGATTCTAACTTTTAAAAAAGGTTTATTCTTCTGTCAAGATGGACGCGGTTTTCCTGATAACTTCTTTCTGTCTGTACGGATCACTTTTGACAACTTGCCGTCGGGTGCGTGATAACGGGAGCACGCAAAGATACGTCGTCTAGAATCGATTTTAACATTAACGCCTTGCCGCTTAATTTGCAGTCTGCGGAAAAAAGAGGAACAAATAGTGAGCGAAGTTTAGAGCTAGGTCGGCTCTCTTTTCCATTACCGAGATGCAAGAGTTTTTTTTCTAGTTCCATGGACTCATAGTAGCCAACTTGCAGGAAAACCGTCATGGGCACAAACCTACCTCTTGGCTTCCAGGACTTAACTCTTCTTATCTTCTTTGTTGGTCGTACGACAATAGGATCATCTTATTGCTTCGGAACAGCTGAATTATAAACAGGTATTCAACAACCTCACTCATGAGACGTTCCATTGTCCAGTTTACCGCTTGAACGATGCACACTCTCGTCTACGTCGCCACTTCAAGGAGGGTTTAGACAAGGGGTCCGCTTCACCGTCAGCACTGCAACAGTGTTATACTTGGAACAGCGCATGCATGGCCTACCCTGGATAATAGTTTCTTCTCATCTTGAGCAAGCTCTGGGTCATACACCCTCGGGACCAGGCGGTCGCATGGCGGACGGTGATCGTCCGACGACTACCAGCTGAAACCCGTTATGTTAAGGTTGCAAATTTGGTAGGATTCATAGTTAGTCTTTGTTTTTCTTATTTTCTGACTTGTTCATCGATCATACTGTGCCTCAGTGTACGTTCACTGAAAACGGACAAATGAGAAGTTAGCGCCTTTAAATAGTTACCCACAAAAATGCCCTTTCTAGACAATGTCACAGCAATGGTTTGTTTGATATGCGTCAGCTTTGATATTACATAGTAAACACATCAAAACACAAAAAAAAAACAAAAAAAAAAAAAAAACACAAAAAAAGCAAAAGAGTTGAAAAAGATATGCGATACCGTCGCCTCTAGATGGACGTTGATAAAACGATGATGGTCTGTGTCACCCACGTATGCCCTTTGTTTTGGGAGCCAATATGTACATAGGTCCTGTGAGAAGCTAACCTCCAATAAAACATGTGATTAAAAATCACAATTGAACACTATTCAGTGTTTTCGAAATAAATGATAATATCCACAAAGACTATCTGTCTATCTGTTGAATGGTAGTGTTAAAAAGGCACCTAAAATAACCCGTTCTTAATCAGCGACAACATTTTCATTGCTGGAGTTCTGATGGATAGTTCGGGCTTTCCGTCTTAAACTATATTGTGGCCGTACGAAATTGCATAGAGTATTTCAGCCGTAATACGTATTAAACAGATTTGCAGCTCCCACCTACTAACTAAAATACATGCAGTGTACATTATAAGTGTTTCACGTCCAGTATTGCCTTAAGCAGTTGGCATACAGCCCGAAACAACATGTGCTGGTATCCCGTCCCAACCCTGAACCACTCTGAAACTCTGATACACAATTGAATTACCACTACGTCATCGTCGGCATACAGCTAAAACAGTTTCCATTATTTCGCTATTTCGGGGCTGAGATCGTAGTTCAGCAATAGGGATCTATAAACTGCCTGCTACTGTAGATTTCGCCAAGGGCATTTGGTCTCTGACGGTGCCCTTTTCCCTACGAGAATGCGGCACGCAACGCTGTCTGACCGCACTCAGCTACCATTTACCAGTGATGCATTCTTGATAGGATACAATGCAGCAAACGAAAGATCAATCCAATATCAAGCCTTCGCACTAACTTTGCAGTTTCGT